CAGAATCGCCGCCAGTCCTTCGCGGTAGCTCGGATACCGCAGCGAAACGCCCAATCCACCTGCCAACAGGTCGCTACGAATCCGCTTCGACGCCGACGCCCGGGCGGCGCGGGGCGAATCGGCTGGTGGGTCGGTGAAGGTCGGCGGCGCGGCGCCGATCAGCCGGGCCACTTCGGCGTAGTAGTCACTCCGCAGCGGCGGCTGCCCGTCGCTGACGCAGACGATCGGTGGCGGGGCGGCCTGGTCGGCGGCGGCGAGCACCGTGGTCGCGGCGTCGTCAACGTGGATCAGATTCAGCCAGCCAGTGCTCGGGGCGGCGATCGGTTCGCCGGCCTGCAACTGAGCCAAGTATGGCAACCGGTCCGGGCCGTAGATCCCCGCCAGCCGCAGCGACACGCCGCGGCTGGCGAACGGGCTTGTCCCCAAAATCTCCTCGGCGGCGAGCGACGCGCGCCCGCCGTCGCGGCTCGGGGCAGGGGGGGTCGTCTCGTCGATCCATTCGCCGTCGGCGTCGCCGTAGACGCCCGTCGTGCTGATATAGACGACGCGCTCGGTCGATGGCGCCGCGGCGGCGAGGACGTTCGCCAATCCGGTGGCGTAGACCTCTTGGATCGAAGGCCCACCGCTGCGGTCGTAGCCGACGGCGTAGAGCAGCGTCTCGGCCTGCGGCAGACCCCGCAGGGTCTCGGGCTTCGTCACGTCGGCGACCAACGGTTCGAGTCCCTGCTCAACGAACTGTCGGGCGGTCGGGTCGCTGCGGGTGACGGCGACGACACGGTCGCCCGCCGCTCGCCACCGCAGGGCGACGCGGCGACCGAGGTAACCGCAACCGAAAACAATTCGTGTCGCCACCTGTGCCGCCTTTAACCGTCGTGAGGGCCATAGTCATTGTGAAAGGGAGGTTGTTTGCTAGCGTATCCCCCCGCGGCGGCGTCCGATACACTCATCGAAGCCCGCGACAGCTAAAGTTCCCCCTGGAGAAGGACTGTCGCACTTGATCGCCCCAAGGTGAGACGCCCCTCCGATGAGTGACGCCCCCCTCTTGGCCGAGCTTGGCTGGATCGAGTGGTGCGCTCTGCCCGGCCTCGGCATCCCCTTGCTGCAAGCAAAGATCGACACCGGCGCGCGGACCTCGTCGCTCCACGCCGAGGACCTCGAGATCGTCGATCAGGGCGGCCGCCATGTCGCCAAGTTTCTCGTCCGCACCCGCAAAGGGGTCTATGTTTGCGAATGCCCCGTCAAGGACGAACGCCACGTGAAGAGTTCGTCGGGGCATGAAGAGCTACGCGTCGTCGTCGAAACCACCTGCGTCATCCAACGCGTCCGCTGGACGATCGAGCTGACGCTCACCGACCGCACCGCCATGCGGTTCCCGATGCTGCTGGGCCGCCGGGCGATGGCCGGGCGGTTCGTCGTCGATCCCAGCCGCCGCTATGTGTGCGGAAAGCCCAAGCGAAAGTTCAAGTCGTAAGCTTCGATTACGGCCGTAGAATTGTCTCACTGACGTTGCCGCCGCGCCCCGGAACCGCCATGAAGCTCGCGATCCTCTCCCGCAACCGCAACTGCTACAGCACGCGGCGGCTCTGCGAAGCCGCCGAGGGCCGTGGGCATACCGTGCGCGTGCTCGACACGCTCAAGTTCTCGATCGACCTCACCCAGGGCGAGCCCGAGCTGTTCTTCCGATCCAAAGTCCTCAGCCAGTACGACGCCGTGCTGCCGCGCATCGGCGCGTCGATCACCTACTTCGGCACGGCCGTTGTGCGGCAGTTCGAGCAGATGGACGTCTTCGTCGGCAACTCGTCGGCGGGCATCGCCAACTCGCGCGACAAGCTCCGCTGTCTGCAGATCCTCAGCAAGCACCACATCGGCATGCCGCCGACGACGTTCGTCCGCGAACGCAAGGACATCCTGCCGGCGATCGAGCGCGTCGGCGGTTCGCCGGTCGTCATCAAGCTCATCGAAGGGACGCAGGGCGTCGGCGTGATCCTCGCCGAATCGACCAAGATCGCCGAGGCGATCATCGAAACCCTGCAGAGCACCAACCAGAACGTGCTGGTGCAGAAGTTCGTCGCCGAGAGCCGCGGCCGCGACGTGCGGGCGTTCGTTGTCGGCGATCAAGTCGTGGCCGCGATGCGCCGCGTCGCCGTCGGCAACGAGTTCCGCAGCAACGTTCACCGCGGCGGCTCGACCGAGCGTGTCGAGCTGTCGGAGGACGCGAAGCACCTCGCCGTCCGCGCCGCGCAGATCATGGGCCTGCGGATCGCGGGCGTCGACATGCTCGAAGCGAACGAAGGCCCCCAAGTGATGGAAGTCAACTCGTCGCCGGGCCTCGAGGGGATCGAACGCTGCACGCAGCTCGACATCGCCGGCGCGGTGATCGACTACCTCGCCGCCCAGGTCGATTTCCCCGAGGTCGACATCCGCCAGCGGCTGACGGTTAGTCGGGGCTACGGCGTCACGGAGATCCGCATCCCCGAGGGTTCGGACTACGTCGGCAAGACGATCGACGAGTCGGGCCTCCCCGACCGCGACATCAACGTCCTCACGCTCTACCGCGACACGAGCGTGATCCCCAACCCCCGACTCAAACGCGCGTTAGAAGCCGGCGACCGCCTCCTCTGCTTCGGCAAGCTCGACGCGATGCGCGACCTGGTGCCCGAAAAGGTCCGCAAGAAGCGCCGCCCGAAGGTGAAGGAACTCCCCGAAGACGTGATCGAGCCTCAAGCAGCGGTGTAGGGTCCGCTGTGCGGGGCGTGTGAGGGCTAATCACTCGTCAGCAGACGACACAGAGGGTGGCCGGGGTCGCAGGCGGCAGCCGGAGCCCCGAATGGCACGTAGTTGGCCGTAAGT